GGTCAAGCCAAAAAGTGGCTGAGATTGTGAGGGCCAGTAGTTAGTAAACTGCGTATAACTAAAGAATAGTAAATTGTACAATAATACCCTATAAGTCAAAATAAAGCGTATAATAAGAAAAATATAAATAAACATAATCTTGTTACTGAGATTCTCTTCAGCAAAATTTGGAATGAAGAACAAGTACCAACAGACTAGAAAGACGGACTTCTGGTAAAAATACCGAAGAAAGGCGATCTCAGCAAGTGTGGTGACTACAGTGGAATCACCCTTCTCTAAATATCGAGAAAAATGTTCAACAGGGTATTGTTAAACAGGATGAAGGACTGCGTAGACGCACAACTTCGTGACCAACAGGCAGGATTCCGTAAGGATAGATCGTGTACAGACCAAATCGCAACTCTACGGATCATTGTGGAACAATCAATTGAATGGAATTCATTACTCTACATCACATTCATTGACTACGAAAAGACATTTGATAGCGTGGACAGAACAACACTATGGAAACTTCTTCGACACTATGGAGTGCCTCAGAAGATAGTCAATATCATACAGAGTTCATATGATGGATTACACTGCAAAATCGTGCATGGGTGACAGTTGACAAAGTTGTTTGAAGTAAAGACCGGTGTCAAGCAGGGTTGCTTACTCTCACCCTTTCTCTTTCTCCTGGTGGTCGACTGGATAATGAAGACTTCAACATATGGAGGAAGCGTTGAATACAGTGGACAGCTAGGATGCAGTTGGACGATCTACAATACGCAGATGATTCGACTCTTCTATCGCACACGCAACAACAAATGCAGGAGAAGATGACCAGTGTAGCGGCAGCCTCAGCAACAGTAGGTCTCAATATGCACAAATGGAAAAGCAAGATTCTCTGATACAACACAGCATGCACCAATCCAATCACAATTGACGGAGAAGATTTGGAAGTTGTAAAAACCTTTACATATCTAGGCAGTATCATTGATGAACAAGGTAGTGGATCTGATGCAGATATGAAAGCGCGGATTTGCAAATCAAAAGCAGTATATCTACAATTGAAGAATATCTGGAACTCAAAGCAACTGTCAACCAACACCAAAGTCAGAATTTTCAATACAAATGTTAAGACAGTTCTACTGTATGGGGCGGAAGCTTGGAGAACTACGAAAACCGTCTTCTAGAAGGTACAAGTGTTTTTCAACAGTTGTCTACGCAAAATACTGCGGATAGGTTGGCCGGATACCATCAACAACAACCTGCTGTGGGAGAGAAAAATCCAGATCTCGACAGAGGAAGGAGCGCTGGAAGTGGGTAGGACACACATTGAGGGAAGCACCCAAATGCTTTACAAGGCAAGCCCTCACATGGAATCCTCAAGGCCAAAGGTAAAAAGGAAGGCCAAAAAGCACATTACGCTGAGAAATGGAGACAAACATTAGAAAAAATGAACAACAATTGGATAAGACTAGAAAGGAAGGCCCAGGGCAGAGTGGGATGCAGAGTGCTGGTTGGCGGCCTATGCTTCATTGGGAGTAACAGATGTAAGAGGCTTTTTTGACAGAATAAACCCTTGGGCTGAACGTTCTGATGATCTCCAGAATTGGATTAGCAGGTGGAGCCAGTTTATCCACGGTATTATGTTGTAATGAAACGCAAAACGCTTGTACATGTTGGGGAGACTTAGATAAAAGAGAAGTCTAAAGAGGCATTTGTCGAAAGTCCGTTGACTGATGACCTCCCGAGTACTTAGCAACACTTCTGTTGCCAAGCAGTGTCGCAATTCTAGATTGTGGGATAGCTGGTTAAACCCTTGTCGACCGGTTATGCCTCTCCGTTTAAGGATAGCCTTCCCTAAGGTGTTGTAAGGTTCTGAAAAATTACGTAAGCATAAGTTGTGACGTACCTTCTAAAATCGCGCAGCAGTGCTTTTGATATAACACAAGTGAGTCTCACACTGTGATCGTGGAAACCAACTTCTGATATTATTAGGCCATAATGACATGAATCTCAAGGTTGGGACTTTAGAGTTTTGATCCCAAATAGCTTGGGTGCGTGTCCTGACACGAGGGAAGTAAAATATAAATGGGCGAAAAAATCCGAGAACACAGAAATATTATCATAACACGTAAACAATGATACAATAAGGGACATACTCACAATTTATTGTTTGGTGTATCAGATCATGTAGGATTCACCACTAAAAATGCTGCAAATATTCAGGGATTGACAACGCCTTTGTGCGTAACACCTTTGTAATCGAATGACACCAGAAAAGTCAAATCAGAAGTCAGGGATAAATTAGTTTGAAGATGTATTTAGAAAATCGTCGATATGTTAGATGTTATTTGATCTAAGCTGGCTAGTAGTTGCAAGGAATGCATAGCAGGACGCACTCGTGATCTGGTGCAAATGCATGATCGGACGCCTTCAGCTATGGTTTGTCTGGTAAAACTAATAAGGTCAGTATCAAATCCGAAGACTTATAAGACTATTTATTTTGGGGATTTATTTGTCGCTACAAATGTTTCCAGAAAAATCCCAGAAAATATCACATGAACTATTTGAACCAATTGAACTATATCTCTCTATTGTCAAGGACACTACCTACTGTCCAGACGCATACATCAAATAACAAATTTTGTTATTTCTGCTTAACGATGTTTGAGATATGAAAGACAGGACGACAGATGTTACATGCGCTTGAAATAAATAAGGCGTTTTAAATGGATTTTGAGTCCGAGTGAGTTGAAGCGTAGAAACCTTTAGTGCATATTCGCTTTATTTGTCTTGTACTCAAAGGATTGTCTGTTTACAGCTAACTAAATTTTGACTACAAAGTCGAATGAGATGTTTATAGCGCTCATTTCATGATCTGAACTCATTATTTTCTGATTACTCACTGACTATGAAACCTTATAGTTAGAAAAAACGAACAGGTAGCCAGATTATGACAACTTTGTCGTATGGATAATTTTTTGGGACTGTTACTTATCAGTCCGTCAAGACTCTTTAATTAGGGACTTGGAGCTGATTTACATCACTGGCTTAATGTGATATCAAAAATGGGTTAAAATAAAAGCCAGCAACGACCCTTCAGCACTTTTCTCGAGCATTCGTCACGAAAGTGTTATGTATTACTTTGACCTAAAAAAGTTCTCGGTTGTATTTTTAAACTATACTATATCTCATATTGTATACTATTGTTACACGCGTATTTACTTCATTTTGATTGTCGTCCTTTTTTCATACATTCACAACGTCATTACCTTATTTGTTAGGCTCAGGTATTCGTGCTACCTAGGCGTACCAGGATTCGTGTGGTAGATAAAGAAATAGAGGTAATAAGTCTCTGAAGACCCCATAACGAACCTACGGTATACTGGAGAAATCTGAGTTTACGATTAAATGTCCTGTATTAGTCCTGGCAATGGTGATCTCTCAGTTGATCCAACTTCCTTTTGAAAGCGTCAACAGTTAATGGATCCCGTTCTTTGATTCAATGGGAAAGTCGATAGTTAGCTGACAAGTAGTTTGTTCTAGGATTGTGGACTTTTTCAGAGTGTCCTCGTAAATCCTGTTTTGGAAGACAAGAAAAGTGAGGGCATGTCAAATGAGAATTTACCACTGATTAATTTAGAAAACTGTGATCAAGTCACCTCTGGTTCTTCTATACGTTAATGAAAATGGGTTTAGTTTATTCAGTCGAGCTTCACACCGTAGCTTTACTATTTCGAGGATTAGCTTAATTGTAGTTCTTTGAACCTTTTTCAACAGCCCACTGTCTCTTTTTAGTCAGCGACTAACTGCTTTATAAAGTACTCGAGTTTAAGAAAAACGGATACTGCGTATAAAGTTTTATTTATTCATTTGAACACATAAATAATGGTACAAAGGGGCACCGAATACATATGCGCCACACAATTCACTTTATTTTAGGATCAAGATATAGACTTTGTTGACTGATTGACTATAAAAGATGTTGATCAGTCAGTCAGTCAGTCAGCTACAACGTAGGACCAGGCACATATGTGCATCGGTCCAGGTTGCCATACCGCATCAACACAACAAGATGAACACCAGATTCATAACAGTGGTTAGGTGAAAGGTGGTAATATATGAGAAAGATTGCATATAGAGATATAGTACAAGCAGAAAGAATTGGTTCGTAGAAAGAAAGATATGAAGCGATTTTAATCTCATAGTTTAAGGGAAGATAGGGAATGTATACACCGACGCCATTGTGATCGATTCTGAGCCATGTCACCAAGAGTCTCCAACCATTGGTTACGATAGTCACGCGGACCCCAACCAAGTAGTCTGCATCTACCAACATGGCTCAGACTAGAAGTTAGTGACTTCAAGCACTGATGCCACGTTTTGGTTTGGCCGCCCCTAACTTTCTTCCAACCATTTCCAATACCGGATAGCATTGCACGTCGTGGTAATCGGTGTTCAGGCATACGTAACACGTGGCCCAACCATCTCAGTCGATGAAGATTCATAACCTCATCAACTGATTTACCATCATTTCCTAATACCCTGCGTCTAACCTCACTATTACTTACCCGGTTATCCCAGCAGACGCCAGCAATATTTCTTAGGCATCTGTGGTCAAATACTAATAGCTTACGAGTGTCTTCTACTCTTAATGGCCATGTTTCGCTGCCGTAAAGTAAAACAGAACGGACTGCCGCGCAGTATACTCGTCCTTTTATTGATAGACGGATATCTCGCCTTTGCTCAGTGTGTAACCAACTTCGTTTTAGTACAGAGGTTGTGACTTTTTTTTCATTCGAGCAAGTTTTATTGGTATATTTTATTGTGAACTGCATAAGTGTTTGTTGGTTTTTGTTAGTAGTACACTAGGTAATACAGTAAAAAATCATTTGTTAGTATAATTGTTATTATCCTTAAAATATTCCCTTACAATCTAGTTCATTTTGACTATGTACAGCTTTTAGGTTGAAGATCATTGTTTTCTGTTGAATCAGTCTTCCAAACCCCGTTCTATGAAGAATCTGATTTTTCTGACCATAACATACCAACTTGTGGTTGCTATCTGGCCAATAACAACGTTTACATATAATAATATCGACAACAGCATCAATAATAACTGCGGGAAAAACTTTCAATTCAAGCCAAACAGAATAATCTTAACTCAAAAGTCCATTTCAGCGGGTGCTAAATTTCTCAAAAAGTTAAAAGTATCATCGTTTAAAGAATGCTACTTTATGTGTTGCAATACAAATGAATGTAGCACGGCAATATTTGAATCTAAGGTAAATTTGATCTTTGCATTACATAAAAATTTCATCATAATAGGCTACGCAGTCTTGTTTTATGTTTGATTGTCGACAGCCTGGACAATGCTTTTATTCTAGTCATTCCAATTATGATACAATTGTCTTAGAAGAATCAAACGGTAATCAGAGTTTGAAAAACAAAGGTAATTAATGAAATGACAACGTATTCGATTAATTAGTTGGTCTAAATCAACATTGCGATTCAAATAACTTGTGTGATGAAGTTAAAACTATATGCTCTGATGGGGTATGTATTTGCCAGTCTGGTTGGATTGCTAAGAAAGGTTCCTCTGTTTCACAAACTTGTGGAAAGCACTATTTCTATAAGTACCATTTTACAAGCTTATCAGGCAGTTACAAGCTATGGACTGTGGGTAAAGCATCAATGCAGTGCCTCTGTTGACTATAGTATAAAGTATAGTTTGCCAATCAGAGTATAAGCGTTAAGAAGGGTATATTGTAGGATAGTTGTTTACTTAAGCAGGCGGAAAAAGTATAGAAGTATATGAGTTGTGGATAAGGGAACGAGTGGAGAAATAATATTAATTGCTAGTCAACATAGTGTACTGAAGAGTAAAAAGTTAATACAGGATAAACAGGAAGGGACTCACAGTAACTTGGTGCTGATGTTATTTTGTGTTGTCCTAACCAGTTGGTTGGTAACAGGCTCCATAGATGCAAGACCACTGGCAGTAGGCAGCCGATTTGTGCGGTCCTCTTGACGTTTTAGGGTGGTAGTGAGTTTCCCTTATCGACCGAGTTTATTTTAAAAGTAATGATAGGTCCATTGAGTTACCTGTCTACTTCAAGTGAAGAAATAGGGTGGAAAAAGTAATTAATACAACTGCAAAGTAGGAAAAATAAGGCAAACTGAACTTGAAGTTCATTTTGGTCTAGACATGGAGAGAGCCTATGATGTCTGAGTGGGGCGCAGATGTGTTCGTACGAGCAAGATCAGTGCAAGTGAGGGCTTGATCAAGCAGTTTTACAAACGTTGCCGGCAGGAAAGCCGGCGGAATTACAAAAAAAGTTTTCTCATTGCTATTGGATATAACATCTGATAAGGGCATAGTGTACATATTGGGAGCCGGACCAAGAAGGCTATCAGGTCTATGGTTGTGACCAAGTGGCCAATTACAATTCAGATAACTATTTAAACCTGACGTATGGGTAACGTAATTAAGGTTTATGGTTGATTTCGGTTTCTTCATATGTTGGAGAGGATTGTGTACTGTTAAACATACTTGCGATGGTTTGCGAGGTTTGAATATATTAACGTTAAGTGTGTGGTCAGTTTTATGAATGTTATGATTAGTTTTCCTGTTATCCGTTGCACAGTTACTGTAACTGGGTGTTGCACTAACAGGGGTTTGGATTGTGTTATCCCAATCTTCATCAGCACAACTACTTCGGGTTGAATCTAAGTCAACATTCTTAAGAGGATGGACACCACCTACATCGGGATTACTTTCTTCTGGGTTTTGAACTTTAGGAGATTCAGAAGAGTTTTTCGGTGACGGTAAAATTGTTAAGCTAAACGTCCTCTTGGAATCGGACTTAAGTTTACGATCATTAGGATTATGATGCGTTTGAGAGTTTGACGCTGGTGGTCTGTAGTTATCTCTTCCTGCTTTTCGCTGGCATGATGTTTTATCCGGAAGAGTTTTAATATCCTTGAAAATCTGTTTTCGTCTCAATGAATTGGAGGAATTTAAAAATTCAATGGCGTCTACAGATGAGTTGAATTTGAGTGCATACCAGGATGACTTATTTTTAATCTTGTGCATACACATGGTACGTGTGTCATATTGCTGTCTCTAAGCAGACTAGATTTGATATTTTTAAGGGCATGTGTATCCGGTATATTAAACACAATTGCATTACTAGATCGTCTTATTCTTTCAAATACCTCTGATGCAACACGATCTAGGAAAATATTTATGTCATTCATTTGATCTGGAGTCTGTGAGGTTGGGGTTGATGAGATATTTAAGCGGATTGAGAATGTCCATGTCTACTTGCAACTTTTTTATGCCATCCATATGGCTACAGTTGCGATTATCATTACTGTTTACCATCAGAGTTTTTAACATGTCTGGAATGGAGACAGCTGGTAAAAGCTTGTCTGCTTCCGGATGAACGGAGTGGCTCGTCTCTTTGAAACTGTTGGAAATCGTGTCAGTAGTGGTGTTAAATTGTGTCGTTTTCCTACGTTTGGCTGAACGCCTAGAAGCAGAGGTCTTCATTTTCTTTTGTGGCATGATAAGAATGTGACGTATAGCAATTGGATTGAACAGAATGTTAGAAATAGAAAGGGGTGAAAAAAAATCAATTCCGAGGGCTCGAGTTAGTCTAAAAATCAAAACCTATGTTTTAACCAAGAGTCAATGTATCGTGAGGATTAGTGGTGTTAAAAACAGAAGATGACAATGGCAGGAAGTTAGTAGTGGAGATGAAGTATTTATGTCAGTATCTGTGCGGAGGCGAAATAGAATATAAAGGAGCAGGTTGTATAAATTTTAACACATATGACATGAAAGATAGCTTTGTATAGTAAAGTAATTTAGAAATGTCGATAATTAGTATCAAACAATCAAAAAAGTACGGTAAGTGATACATGTATAAACTGAAAGTCCGTATTAGTAAAAATTGGGAGGTGCAGAGACAAGTAGTTTAGAAGATTATTACCGTCTAAGATTATTATGTTGCTCCTTTTTGGAAAAAAATATTGTCAAAAAAAATATGACAGACTCACCTAATCGGACAGGTAGTTTCGGAAATTAAATGATTTCTAGTATCCAAATACGATTTAAATGATAATTCATAAAATAGTGAATACAGTCCTTTAACATACACGGTTATATATATTTCTTGATATTAGGTAGAGGTTTGAATAGATCCTGTAGATACATAGAGTACGTGGGTTAAAGCATTCAAATACGATATAACCATATATTCCTTAAGGAATAGAATACAGACTATTACCCACGACCCAGCCTATAGACTTAGAAACAACGCATATACACTACTTACCGTAAAACACCAAAAACAAATGCGTTGTAAGTTCTTTACAGTACGGTACAGTTTATTGTGGAACAGGCTGCCAATGCCTATCCGTAATTGTGATACGTTTATCAGATTCAAAAGGCTAATAACCCTATTTCTAGACTCCAAAGAGCTTCAACATTTCCTTGAACTCCCGCCCACCAATGAGGCACTTTATTACGGACCGCCTAGTATCTAGAAAGAACAAAATTATAACAAGTCCGACTGTTACTAATATGAATATAACCAAATCACAGAACATATGGCTTATCCTTTCCTATTATTAATTGTTTATTAATCATGACTTCATGCTCCTAACCCTAGCTTTCAGTTCCCAAATCTCTACAGGTTAAATGTACATTATTCTTCCTAAAAGTCATGCCTTTTTTTTATTCCACTGCAAGTAGACAGATAGCTCAATCTTATGAATGCTGATCTACTAAGGCCGACCATTCAAAGTTCAAAATTTGGCCACAACGTCTTGTGAGTTTCTCAATGTTTTATTTGTCTTACCCTGAAATTTTTTTTCTACGATTTTATACCCTCTCATATCTTTTGATTGTCTATTAGTCCTTACTTCTTTAAACCATTAGTTATTTTCATAGCAGTGCGATATACTATGTGGACATCTAACCCATAAAACAAATTTTTTTAACTATCTGATTTGCTTGTAACATGGACCTAGTAGAGACAGTGTATTCCAACTATAGGCTTTGATTAAGGCAGTATTCATACTTACCACAAACGTAAGAGAGCCTAACATCACAAAAGGAGGGAGGGTGGCGTTACTGACCAGCAAACATGAAGGTGGGGAGATAACTTCAATCCACCCATGTCTGTAGGGCAGAACATTTTGTTTAATTACGGCTCCTTATGGTTTAGTGGGATGCCACGAACTTATGGTATTGAAGCTGATCTATTCACGCAAAATACCTCTTTAAGTCGTGTTACGAACGTTGAATTGGTTTCACTTCCTACCTAGAAATCCTATTACAAGCAAACTAGACAATTCGCTAATATACGAAGCCTAATCAAGGCCCTATAATAACTGGGGGGAAAATATTTTAAAAAAAACGAAAGAGGCTCTAATAGCTTCGATATTAAAGGGAAGATAGCCAAATGTATATCACAATACTGTTTCTAGCACTATATTTTATTTTATAATCACACATAATCTTATACTCTCAGCTCTTTTCCGAATCGCCCCCATTTGTCAGTTGTATGTCCACTCACACCTTGTCAACACTTATTTTCTTTAACCTATTAAAATGCTCTTTCTTAACATATACCTTAATAAAAGAAAATTAGACTGAGTAATCATACCTTAAGCATTCTTTCATGAATATTGGCTACTCTGCCTCTCGTGTTTTCTTTTACTTGCTCCCTCTTTCAGCCCCCTTGAGATATGGAACTGGTGACTTCATCCTGCACCATCCTTAAAGCCTTGGATATCCCAGAAGGAAATAAGGTTGCGATTTTTAGAAGCCCATACCTTCAATGGACCTATTCTTGACCATCAGTCGCACATTCGCAACGCGACTTTCATGAAGCGCGCCAACTGTAGTACTGATCTAAACCATCGACATTCATATCTTATAAATTATCAACCCAGATATGTAATTTATTGCAGTGTATATTGTATCATTTGTATCAATTTGATCTTGCCTGTAAACTGGCATGCCTCATGTAACAAACTGTTATTTGAGAATAAATTATTATTATTATTATTATTATTATATGAAATGCAAATCTTCGTCAAATATGATTACATATGGTTTCAAAGTGGCAGAGTATAGTTTGATCGTATAGTTAAAATGAATATATGTAAATATATGATTATGAATTACTGTATGAATATGATCATAAATACCGTAAGTTATACTCAGAACTTATCATATGGCATGAAATTCACAGTTTATATGTTAATAGTTAAGAATTGAGTTATCTTCCATAAATCCAAGAAAAAATAATTCATCCAGCTCTGCGAGAATCCTAGAAAAATAAAACTAAAAACCTCGGCCTGAAAGTTACGTCCAGTCCGTAGTGCGTGGTGATCTGAAGCTATGTCATCATCTCTTCTGGTTCTCAAATTTTCCATTGTCCTTCGGAATGTTTTGTTGATGCAAATATGATCTATCTGGTTCGCTATAGTGTGGTCCGGTGAGATCCATGTGGCCTTGTGTATACGCTTGTGTTGAAATATTGTGCCCCCTATGACCAATTTGTTGAATGCACATAGATCTGCAAATCTTTCTCCATTTTCGTTTCTTTCTCCCAGTTCATGTCGTTCCATAATATCTTCATTTCCGGTGTTGTCTATCCCGATTTTGGCATTTAGATCTATTAGAATGGTGAGGTCTTTTCTTGGAAATTTCTCTATGATTGACTGCAGCCGCTCGTAGAAATGATCTTTAATGTCGTCGTTGCTATCATTTGTGGGTGCATAACATTGGATAACATTCATTAAAATTCCCTCCTTTGTTTTGAATGATGCTTTGATGATTCTGTATCCGTGAGATTCCCATCCTACAACGGATACTGACAAACTCAACAAATTCAAGATAGCCCTCAGCAATAATAATATATATTTCTGCACGGGCAGGTACACGCCATGTTTCCAGGCATGATCTACAAATTACAACATTTATTGTTTCACAATATTTATGTTAAGTAAATATGGTCTATAGAAGTTCCAGGCCTTTGATGATCTACTCAATAAAGAGGGAACTACTATGGAGAGCAACTGGGAAGGGATAAAAGTGGCAACCATCACAATATGTCATGAGGTTCTGGGCCAAAAGAAGCACCATCACAAGTATTAGATCACTGTTGATACACTGGATAAAACTTAAGAAAGGAGGAACAAGAAGGCAGTAATCAATACCAGCAGTACAAGATCAGAAAACGCCAAGATATAAGCTGAATACACAGAAGTAAACAAACAAGTGAAGAGGAACATCAGAACCGATAATCTTAAATATGTGGAAGATTGAGCAATGACGGGGGAATAGGCTGCAAGAGGAAGAAGCACGAGACTATTGCATGATACAACAAAGAAGTTTGCTGGAAATTATCACAAATCAGAACGACCAGAGAAAAGCAAGGAAGGCAAAGCAATCACCAACATTGAAGAACAGCGAGACAGGTGGGTAGAACACTTCAAAGAACACACGAATCAACTAACCCCACTTCACCTTCCCAACATCCAAGTAGCATCCACGGATCTCCCAATCGAGGTTGGCCTACCAACAATTATAGAGGTCAGCATGGCCATCGGACAAATCAAGAGCGACAAAGCAGCAGGACCAGACAACATTCCAACAGAGGCACTAAAAGCAGACGTAGCGGCAACTGCAAGGATACTCCACATTTTCTTCAATTAGATTTGGGATGAAGAACAAATACCAAAGAAAGGTTATCTCAGCATGTGTGATAACCATAGGACAAACCATGCCACGTCATACCGTAAAATAGAAAATAACAATTATACAAGGTCAAGCCAAAAAGTGGCTGAGATTGTGAGGGCCAGTAGTTAGTAAACTGCGTATAACTAAAGAATAGTAAATTGTACAATAATACCCTATAAGTCAAAATAAAGCGTATAATAAGAAAAATATAAATAAACATAATCTTGTTACTGAGATTCTCTTCAGCAAAATTTGGAATGAAGAACAAGTACCAACAGACTAGAAAGACGGACTTCTGGTAAAAATACCGAAGAAAGGCGATCTCAGCAAGTGTGGTGACTACAGTGGAATCACCCTTCTCTAAATATCGAGAAAAATGTTCAACAGGGTATTGTTAAACAGGATGAAGGACTGCGTAGACGCACAACTTCGTGACCAACAGGCAGGATTCCGTAAGGATAGATCGTGTACAGACCAAATCGCAACTCTACGGATCATTGTGGAACAATCAATTGAATGGAATTCATTACTCTACATCACATTCATTGACTACGAAAAGACATTTGATAGCGTGGACAGAACAACACTATGGAAACTTCTTCGACACTATGGAGTGCCTCAGAAGATAGTCAATATCATACAGAGTTCATATGATGGATTACACTGCAAAATCGTGCATGGGTGACAGTTGACAAAGTTGTTTGAAGTAAAGACCGGTGTCAAGCAGGGTTGCTTACTCTCACCCTTTCTCTTTCTCCTGGTGGTCGACTGGATAATGAAGACTTCAACATATGGAGGAAGCGTTGAATACAGTGGACAGCTAGGATGCAGTTGGACGATCTACAATACGCAGATGATTCGACTCTTCTATCGCACACGCAACAACAAATGCAGGAGAAGATGACCAGTGTAGCGGCAGCCTCAGCAACAGTAGGTCTCAATATGCACAAATGGAAAAGCAAGATTCTCTGATACAACACAGCATGCACCAATCCAATCACAATTGACGGAGAAGATTTGGAAGTTGTAAAAACCTTTACATATCTAGGCAGTATCATTGATGAACAAGGTAGTGGATCTGATGCAGATATGAAAGCGCGGATTTGCAAATCAAAAGCAGTATATCTACAATTGAAGAATATCTGGAACTCAAAGCAACTGTCAACCAACACCAAAGTCAGAATTTTCAATACAAATGTTAAGACAGTTCTACTGTATGGGGCGGAAGCTTGGAGAACTACGAAAACCGTCTTCTAGAAGGTACAAGTGTTTTTCAACAGTTGTCTACGCAAAATACTGCGGATAGGTTGGCCGGATACCATCAACAACAACCTGCTGTGGGAGAGAAAAATCCAGATCTCGACAGAGGAAGGAGCGCTGGAAGTGGGTAGGACACACATTGAGGGAAGCACCCAAATGCTTTACAAGGCAAGCCCTCACATGGAATCCTCAAGGCCAAAGGTAAAAAGGAAGGCCAAAAAGCACATTACGCTGAGAAATGGAGACAAACATTAGAAAAAATGAACAACAATTGGATAAGACTAGAAAGGAAGGCCCAGGGCAGAGTGGGATGCAGAGTGCTGGTTGGCGGCCTATGCTTCATTGGGAGTAACAGATGTAAGAGGCTTTTTTGACAGAATAAACCCTTGGGCTGAACGTTCTGATGATCTCCAGAATTGGATTAGCAGGTGGAGCCAGTTTATCCACGGTATTATGTTGTAATGAAACGCAAAACGCTTGTACATGTTGGGGAGACTTAGATAAAAGAGAAGTCTAAAGAGGCATTTGTCGAAAGTCCGTTGACTGATGACCTCCCGAGTACTTAGCAACACTTCTGTTGCCAAGCAGTGTCGCAATTCTAGATTGTGGGATAGCTGGTTAAACCCTTGTCGACCGGTTATGCCTCTCCGTTTAAGGATAGCCTTCCCTAAGGTGTTGTAAGGTTCTGAAAAATTACGTAAGCATAAGTTGTGACGTACCTTCTAAAATCGCGCAGCAGTGCTTTTGATATAACACAAGTGAGTCTCACACTGTGATCGTGGAAATCAACTTCTGATATTATTAGGCCATAATGACATGAATCTCAAGGTTGGGACTTTAGAGTTTTGATCCCAAATAGCTTGGGTGCGTGTCCTGACACGAGGGAAGTAAAATATAAATGGGCGAAAAAATCCGAGAACACAGAAATATTATCATAACACGTAAACAATGATACAATAAGGGACATACTCACAATTTATTGTTTGGTGTATCAGATCATGTAGGATTCACCACTAAAAATGCTGCAAATATTCAGGGATTGACAACGCCTTTGTGCGTAACACCTTTGTAATCGAATGACACCAGAAAAGTCAAATCAGAAGTCAGGGATAAATTAGTTTGAAGATGTATTTAGAAAATCGTCGATATGTTAGATGTTATTTGATCTAAGCTGGCTAGTAGTTGCAAGGAATGCATAGCAGGACGCACTCGTGATCTGGTGCAAATGCATGATCGGACGCCTTCAGCTATGGTTTGTCTGGTAAAACTAATAAGGTCAGTATCAAATCCGAAGACTTATAAGACTATTTATTTTGGGGATTTATTTGTCGCTACAAATGTTTCCAGAAAAATCCCAGAAAATATCACATGAACTATTTGAACCAATTGAACTATATCTCTCTATTGTCAAGGACACTACCTACTGTCCAGACGCATACATCAAATAACAAATTTTGTTATTTCTGCTTAACGATGTTTGAGATATGAAAGACAGGACGACAGATGTTACATGCGCTTGAAATAAATAAGGCGTTTTAAATGGATTTTGAGTCCGAGTGAGTTGAAGCGTAGAAACCTTTAGTGCATATTCGCTTTATTTGTCTTGTACTCAAAGGATTGTCTGTTTACAGCTAACTAAATTTTGACTACAAAGTCGAATGAGATGTTTATAGCGCTCATTTCATGATCTGAACTCATTATTTTCTGATTACTCACTGACTATGAAACCTTATAGTTAGAAAAAACGAACAGGTAGCCAGATTATGACAACTTTGTCGTATGGATAATTTTTTGGGACTGTTACTTATCAGTCCGTCAAGACTCTTTAATTAGGGACTTGGAGCTGATTTACATCACTGGCTTAATGTGATATCAAAAATGGGTTAAAATAAAAGCCAGCAACGACCCTTCAGCACTTTTCTCGAGCATTCGTCACGAAAGTGTTATGTATTACTTTGACCTAAAAAAGTTCTCGGTTGTATTTTTAAACTATACTATATCTCATATTGTATACTATTGTTACACGCGTATTTACTTCATTTTGATTGTCGTCCTTTTTTCATACATTCACAACATCATTACCTTATTTGTTAGGCTCAGGTATTCGTGCTACCTAGGCGTACCAGGATTCGTGTGGTAGATAAAGAAATAGAGGTAATAAGTCTCTGAAGACCCCATAACGAACCTACGGTATACTGGAGAAATCTGAGTTTACGATTAAATGTCCTGTATTAGTCCTGGCAATGGTGATCTCTCAGTTGATCCAACTTCCTTTTGAAAGCGTCAACAGTTAATGGATCCCGTTCTTTGATTCAATGGGAAAGTCGATAGTTAGCTGACAAGTAGTTTGTTCTAGGATTGTGGACTTTTTCAGAGTGTCCTCGTAAATCCTGTTTTGGAAGACAAGAAAAGTGAGGGCATGTCAAATGAGAATTTACCACTGATTAATTTAGAAAACTGTGATCAAGTCACCTCTGGTTCTTCTATACGTTAATGAAAATGGGTTTAGTTTATTCAGTCGAGCTTCACACCGTAGCTTTACTATTTCGAGGATTAGCTTAATTGTAGTTCTTTGAACCTTTTTCAACAGCCCACTGTCTCTTTTTAGTCAGCGACTAACTGCTTTATAAAGTACTCGAGTTTAAGAAAAACGGATACTGCGTATAAAGTTTTATTTATTCATTTGAACACATAAATAATGGTACAAAGGGGCACCGAATACATATGCGCCACACAATTCACTTTATTTTAGGATCAAGATATAGACTTTGTTGACTGATTGACTATAAAAGATGTTGATCAGTCAGTCAGTCAGTCAGCTACAACGTAGGACCAGGCACATATGTGCATCGGTCCAGGTTGCCATACCGCATCAACACAACAAGATGAACACCAGATTCATAACAGTGGTTAGGTGAAAGGTGGTAATATATGAGAAAGATTGCATATAGAGATATAGTACAAGCAGAAAGAATTGGTTCGTAGAAAGAAAGATATGAAGCGATTTTAATCTCATAGTTTAAGGGAAGATAGGGAATGTATACACCGACGCCATTGTGATCGATTCTGAGCCATGTCACCAAGAGTCTCCAACCATTGGTTACGATAGTCACGCGGACCCCAACCAAGTAGTCTGCATCTACCAACATGGCTCAGACTAGAAGTTAGTGACTTCAAGCACTGATGCCACGTTTTGGTTTGGCCGCCCCTAACTTTCTTCCAACCATTTCCAATACCGGATAGCATTGCACGTCGTGGTAATCGGTGTTCAGGCATACGTAACACGTGGCCCAACCATCTCAGTCGATGAAGATTCATAACCTCATCAACTGATTTACCATCATTTCCTAATACCCTGCGTCTAACCTCACTATTACTTACCCGGTTATCCCAGCAGACGCCAGCAATATTTCTTAGGCATCTGTGGTCAAATACTAATAGCTTACGAGTGTCTTCTACTCTTAATGGCCATGTTTCGCTGCCGTAAAGTAAAACAGAACGGACTGCCGCGCAGTATACTCGTCCTTTTATTGATAGACGGATATCTCGCCTTTGCTCAGTGTGTAACCAACTTCGTTTTAGTACAGAGGTTGTGACTTTTTTTTCATTCGAGCAAGTTTTATTGGTATATTTTATTGTGAACTGCATAAGTGTTTGTTGGTTTTTGTTAGTAGTACACTAGGTAATACAGTAAAAAATCATTTGTTAGTATAATTGTTATTATCCTTAAAATATTCCCTTACAATCTAGTTCATTTTGACTATGAACAGCTTTTAGGTTGAAGATCATTGTTTTCTGTTGAATCAGTCTTCCAAACCCCGTTCTATGAAGAATCTGATTTTTCTGACCATAACATACCAACTTGTGGTTGCTATCTGGCCAATAACAACGTTTACATATAATAATATCGACAACAGCATCAATAATAACTGCGGGAAAAACTTTCAATTCAAGCCAAACAGAATAATCTTAACTCAAAAGTCCATTTCAGCGGGTGCTAAATTTCTCAAAAAGTTAAAAGTATCATCGTTTAAAGAATGCTACTTTATGTGTTGCAATACAAATGAATGTAGCACGGCAATATTTGAATCTAAGGTAAATTTGATCTTTGCATTACATAAAAATTTCATCATAATAGGCTACGCAGTCTTGTTTTATGTTTGATTGTCGACAGCCTGGACAATGCTTTTATTCTAGTCATTCCAATTATGATACAATTGTCTTAGAAGAATCAAACGGTAATCAGAGTTTGAAAAACAAAGGTAATTAATGAAATGACAACGTATTCGATTAATTAGTTGGTCTAAATCAACATTGCGATTCAAATAACTTGTGTGATGAAGTTAAAACTATATGCTCTGATGGGGTATGTATTTGCCAGTCTGGTTGGATTGCTAAGAAAGGTTCATGTGGTATGTATAGTCTCACATTTTATTAGTATTTCTGTTAAAATGTAATATTTTAGTTCAGTCAGTTTGTAAATCACCAGAACTTCAATTCCAGTGTGATGATTCTTCTACTTGTGTAGCTATCTATGATAAATGTAACGGAATAGTTGAATGCCCGGATGGATCCGATGAGTTGATTTGCCCTTCAAGTATGTTGCTTTTTTATATGTAACAAATTAGTTTTGGTTGTTTTAATGTCACGAGTCAGTCACTAAACTATTTCATACGATCATGGTTAATACATTTATTATACAGTAACGGCAATTAAAATAGAAGTTAAATCTCTCTAAGCTTCAAATGAGTTGTTCTCTGAACTAGCGTTTGTAATAGGTGAAAGTTTCAACGTCAAGTTTCAGCAGTAGTTGTAGCCCATATTCTAGTTACCATTTTCTTACGATTTAATCATTTGATATCATAGTTAATAAATATGCAAATGTCATATAATGTTACTCCAAAAGTGATCTGAATCAGTCTGGTGTCCACCACTTTATTAACACTGGCATCATCATTTATCTTGCTTGGTCAATATTGTCTAACTTTTGCTGTCTGTGGCGTAGGTGCACATATCTAAATGCTTACCAAAGAGAAAGCACTAGGCAGTACCCTCTGTATGGTTCTTGAGGATTGTGAATTGTGTATATTGAGAGTAGTTTCCCATAATTTGAATGTATTCACTCGTAGGTATCTTCAAATCATTACTTAGATACTAAGAAATGCAAGTGTTTTTGTTAGAGTATTCAGCAAAAGAAAAGTTGAAGAAGCTATGAACATTCATAGATTGAGATGTTATGTATGTTTAGTTACCATCTACGTCAAAGATAAAAATGAAACAAGTGTATATTATAAGATCAACAATACTGGAAATTAAAATTAGGATCTATAGTTTGTAAGGAAGACATGATATCGAGGTATAAAAGGTGGGATTCTATATTATTATTCCTGAATATGATCAAATATTATTATTCGATAAATATGGGTTTCACATAATCTGTTTTCTCTCTATGTACTTGGAATTTTCGGACATTGATCTCCTACCCGGAGGTCAACTTATCGACTTAAAATACGCAGATGACATAGTCGTGTTTGGTGAAAACGCTGATAAAATACAGAGTTTTTTTGATAGCACTAAGCAACAATGCTAGAATGTTTGGAATGCGCTTCTCTCCCTCTAAATACAAGTTGTTGCTTCAGGACTGGCCTGCGTCAGCACCTGAACTAAGGATAGGGAGTGAAGTAGTCGAACACGTTGACAATTTCACTTATCTTGGAAGTTTGATCAGTCCTAATGGGTTGGTGTCTGACGAAATATGTGCAGGGATTCGAAAATCTCGCTTGGCTTTTGCCAACTTACGTCACCTATGGCGAAGGCGAGATATCCGTCTATCAATTAAAGGACGAGTATCCTGCGTAGCAGTTCGTTCTGTTTTACTTTATGGCTGCGAGATGTGGCCATTAAGAGTAGAGGATACTCGTAAGTTACTAGTATTCGGTCACAGATATCTTAGAAAATTGCCAGCATCCGCTGGGATCGCCGGGTATGTAATGGTGAGGTTAAACTCAAGGTATTATGGAATGATAGTAAATCAGTTGATGAGGTTGTGAATCTTTATCGGTTGAGATGGATGTGCCACGTATTATGCATGATCAACCACTGACTACCACGATGTGCAACGCTGACTAGTGTTGGAGACGAATGGAATAAAGTTAGGGACGGCTAAACCAAAACGTTGTATCAGTCTATAAAGTCACTCACTTCCGGTCTGAGCCATTTCGGTAGATGCAGACTAATATTTTAGGGTTCACGCGGCCATCGTAACTAGTGGTTGGAGACTCTGGATAGCATGGCTCGGAATCGATCACAATGGAGTAGGTGTGTACACTCTTCGTCTTTAACCTGTGCGATTAAAATTAGTTTATACCTTTCTTTCTACGAACTAATTCTTTCTTTCTTTTTGTACTATATCCTTACATAAAATCTTCCCTTTATATATTACACCATTGAGTTAACTGCTTCTATGAATCTGGTGTTCGTTTTACTGTGCTAATGAGGTGTGGCAACTTGGAACGATGCATTTATGTGCCTGGTCCTATGTTGTAACTGACTGAATTGTCAAGAGTTAAAGCACATATAATGTTAAAGGGAGCCAACCACCTTATTTGAACCATTTTGTCATTAACAAGTGAGCGCAAATACGTGATGCAAATTCGTTAGGAATCAATTTTCATAACTTAGGTATACTTCTACGTTAAATTATTTACAGGTTAGTGACATTAATTGTAATGGGTATACCATCACTTGATGGTATTTTGATTGGGTTCTAAAAATAACTGTTAGTCCTGTAGAATTCGAAAATTTAAAAACCGAGTACTCACTCGGTGTAAATGCTACTTTTACTGATTACCATTTTTTATGTTGAAGTATTCAAATTTTTTCGAACATGTAAATAATCGAGATTACTGCATACAATTACAAATCTCGCTAAACTAAGTTCAACAACTATGGCTATTTCACACATATAGTTTCCTTTATCTTAAAGAGAACAAGAACGAAGATTGAAATAGAGTTAATAAAGTTATAAAAAAATTTGTTTCGGATAAATCAAGTTTGTAAGGGAAAGTTCCAGAACATTGAATGTAATTAGAACTCATGAAGTTAACAAACATTAGATGATTAGATAATGAAACAAAATCTTTATGGCATTAACTCTATTGAAATCTTCGCTACATCATGACATACATATTCATCTTTAATCACTCTCATCTGTATAAGTATGTCAATATATGTAATAACGTTGATTTTAAAATATTATAGGTTGGAAGAAATTAATGAGAACCTAACGAAATAATATGAATTCATATTATTCTGCATCAATCTTTCTTGCTCTCTTTAACTATGGCTATATATTTAATACGATGCCAAAACAATTTGTCAGTGCTGAAATAAAGAATCTGTATTGAGTAATTTTTATTTGGGACAGCTCTACAGACTAATAAAAGAAACTGGAACTGGAGTCTTTTGGTAGCACTAAGCAACAATGCTAGAATGTTTGGAATGCGCTTCTCTCCCTCTAAATACAAGTTGTTGCTTCAGGACTGGCCTGCGTCAGCACCTGAACTAAGGATAGGGAGTGAAGTAGTCGAACACGTTGACAATTTCACTTATCTTGGAAGTTTGATCAGTCCTAATGGGTTGGTGTCTGACGAAATATGTGCAGGGATTCGAAAATCTCGCTTGGCTTTTGCCAACTTACGTCACCTATGGCGAAGGCGAGATATCCGTCTATCAATTAAAGGACGAGTATCCTGCGTAGCAGTTCGTTCTGTTTTAATTTACGGCAGCGAAACATGGCCTTTAAGAGTGGAAGACACTCGTAAGCTACTAGTATTTGACCACAGATGCCTTAAAAATATTGCTGGCGTCTTTTGGGATCACTGGGTAAGTAATAGTGAGGTTAGACGCAGGGTATTAGGAAATGATGGTAAATCAGTTGATGAGGTTATGAATCTTCATCGACTGAGATGGTTGGGCCACGTGTTACGTATGCCTGAACTCCGATTACCACGTCGTGCAATGCTAACGGGTGTTAGAGATTTTTGGAAGAGAATTATGGGTGGACAAACCAAGACGTGGCATCAGTACTTGAAGACACTAACCTCTAGTCTGAGCCATGTTGGTAGATGCAGACTACTTGGTTGGGGTCCGCTTGACTTTCGTAACCGATGGTTGGAGACTCTTGGTGACATGGCTCAGAATCGATCACAATGGCGTCGGTGCATACACTCCCTGTCTTCCCTTAAACTAAAAGATTGAAATCGCTTCATATCTTTCTTTCTACGAACTAATTCTATATTCCGGTACTGTATCCTTATATGCAATCTTTCTCTTATATATTACCACCTTTAACCTAACCACTCCTATGAATCCGGTGTTCATCTTGCTGTGCTAATGAAGTATGGCAACCTGGACCGATGCATATATGTGCCTGGTCCTTCGTTGTAGCTGACTGACTGACTGAATTTTTGTTTGGTCATGCTCACTACCACAAATAGTTTGTAAAATGTACTTAGACGTGTTTCTGAATAATATGGTCTAAATCTCGGTTCTTTATGTAGCATTTTTTAAGAGGTGGATCATAAAATTTCCATTTGTAATTTTTCTGTATACAGGATTAATTCACAAGCAAAATGAAACCAATCCGTCATTACTGCGTAATCAAAAACAAGGTGAATTTGACGAGGGAATTTTGTCTAAACCTTCAAATGTAAGTTATCAGCCTTTGGAAAGATATCAATCCAATCAACCATCTTTATTAACTACATCTCGAAGTACTTCTCCAGCGTTGATGGATTTAAACGATCTATCTGATCCATTCTTTTATCCTAGTCAATCGAATTATCATAATGGTAGGGAACAACTGACAAAGTCACATCCAATCAAACCTGTTAACCAAAAACCATTGTTCAATGTTGATGATAAAGAATCGTTCATGCTTGATATAAATAATAAAATTAATGAAAATAATGATAACAATCCTGAGATGTTTTTTACTTCAAGTGATGATGATGGATGGCATTATCCTAAGGGACTACTTCATGATGTTTCATCACAGGGTGGTGGTGATGTCCTTTCACAATCATTACCTAGAAAGCATTTATATCGACCAGATCATCATTCGGTACTATCACGAATGAAAGCATATGAAACAGCAGGACTATACAGGCCCAGATCTTTCAATACTTTTAAAGTTGATTATCCTCACTCATCACAGAGAAATGATTTATCGTTCATTCCTTATCATCATTCCAATAATTTTATACGTGGATCACATCAAGATGAACCACCATTTTTTCAATATAATCTGGATAGTAAACACCAATCTGAGATGATAATTGATCCAACTGTACTGGAAAATATGGACTTTATCAATAAATTTAGTGAAACAGGCGATGCTTTAAAAAAGTATCCATTGGTTCATGGTATGTTGTGTGTGTATGTGTGTATATTTTAATTTCAACTTGTATGCTATTCTTTACAAGGTTTCTTATTACAACTTAATTAATTGAAGTAGGCGACTGGTATACTTAGCTTAACAATATCAATATTTATCAATCATGAATGTAATTTTTATGCTATCGGTTGCAGCAAGTTTCCAATTTTTTAAAATATTGTAGGATTTATGTTCCTTATAGGTATCTTATTTCGTAATAATGTCAAGTTAATGTAAGTGTAGCTACAGTCGAACAAATTAAAAAATTAGTCTTAAATATCTTATGTGTTTCTAAAATGTAAATAAATATAATCTGTTCAAGAATCTGAAGTAAATATAGTTGGACAGAAATGAATGAAAGTGAAGCATATTAATAGATCAAACATTAATGAAAAATGCGACAATCATAAACGTAAAAATGATATTGTCTTAGTATTCAGTGATATTCGAGCTTTACAAACTGCACTAGTCCTTATCATTGTTAAAATCAAGTTCAAAGCTATCATATTCTGTAGAAAATGTGTATTGCCTTACCGAAAAATTCGTTGAAAAGAGTTTAGAACTTCATAGTCCGTTAATAGTAGTTTTTTATTGTTTAGCCATGAATGTTGATTCTACTTACCATTATAAAAAATGACATTCTACTCTTTAAATTTAAATGTCTTATACAACCAGATCCCTTGATAAATCTAAACAAAGGACGAACAACAAGGTTTGTAAAATAAAATGAATTGATCATTCTATTTCATGGTTTCGCATCATCTACATACAACCTAAAATTACAATTATTAATATAAATATAATTATTAACAAATGTTTAGCATACTTTAGTTTGTGAAGCTTAGATAAATGTTCGAAATGTAACCAAAATCATACTAATCAGAAGAATAGGGTTACAAAATGTATGATGAATAAACATAGTTAAGATCGATCTGTATCTATGTAAGCGTGATAAGTATCAGCTTAATTTGCTAGATAACTAAGAAACATTATGATAAATCGGATTGTTTTGGGTGCTAGATATCAACTTGAGCTCATAAAAATTTTTGTAGGCAATTTAATTTTATGATAAATAATAAATTTAGTATGATTACTAGTTGTTATTTTCTTGGATTTCAATATTTGTATAGGATTTTGTGATATTATAACAGATGAGATCAGTCTCTTTATCGAAAACTAGGGTATTGTGAGTCAACGTTAGCTACCTATGGAGTCGTTGCGATAATAGTTTTACTGTATAGAGTCAGATGTACAACAATAATATGTGGTCAGCTCCGTTCTACGAGAACCTTGAGCGGAAGCTGTTCAACGAATGTGTTTTATCATCTGTTTCTTATCCAAGGTATTAGTCATATTTCATGTCAACGTTGTGTTTAGGATAATGTAAGATATTCTTTAATTATTGAGGATCATTCAAAAATATCATCCTCGTTATCTTGAACATTTTTTATTCATTATATTTCAGCAACTCTCATATTGTCCACTAATTTGCTAATAATTATTATTTAAATTTTTCTACTTGGACATTTATAGAGCCTAAACACATTCATCATAGGAATGAATTTGAAGACATTAATCAAAAGGGATCTAGTATAGGTAAAAGTGAGTTCATTTATACATTACTAATTTCTATATTTATTATGTTCAGTCCTCCGCCAAATGCCCTGGTACGGCCAGGAGTGGAGAGAGTCCACTCTCCCTCTCGAAATGCTCTCACATGACTATGCGTATATAGCCTCTGCCAGAGAAGTCCTGCCAACTGCCCTCCCGTGGCGGGGGTGTTGTTTACGAAAATGAGAGGACGAAAAGCAAATGTCCGGCGCTTTAACCGGATTCCAAACCAATGGTGCACATGGGCTCCACTATCCTGCGGGAACAAATGGCGTATGAACCGATTTTTGGTCGCCGGCTACCATGGGACTGCATCTCCTGATGATGCTCTACTGCATTGTGGATCAGACCTTTAGGTCAAAAGCTTTTGGAGTGGCTCCCTAAGAAAACCACCTGCTTCGGTCTAAGCACCTGAGCAGTATCACAGCCCTCACACATATCGAATGAGATTTGTGTGGCGCATATGTATTTGGTGCCTCCTTGTACCAATATCTGTGTTAAAATAAAAAATAATATGTTCAGTCCATTAACTTCATACGTAGTCTCCAAGTACAAATAATTTAATCTTGTTAACGTTTAAATATAGCTGGGCGAGTGTAGATAATATTATATGCATTTGTTCTTATGTCATCCCATAGTCAAACAGTAGCAGAACAATTATAAACGAGGGATTGAAGGCGGTTGATTATGCATCTACTCAAGACCTCAGCCTACATGCTCTTGTCTAGGTTAGAAGGACAATTGTATGTATGCACCTATAGTTTATGGTTCATTTCGATAATTAAACTTTTCTACTTATTTTATTCTCATTTGTATGATACGTTTGGAAGTGTATGTCGTAACTAAGTACTACTACAGAACACAAAATTCGACATGCTATGAATACATATCAATCCATTAATTATTCATCTATTATAATCAACTTTTGCTGGCTAATTATACATCAGTACACTATGTGTATAGAATGGGTTGGTGAATTTGTGGTTATAGCAATCGTCTCTCAAACATTGAGTTACATGTTTGAATTTCTCTCCACTTCAAACAACCGGATACCATCACCAACGTTCAAGCACCCACAGTTTGGCTCAAACTAAGATGACTAAACGTGCATTTGACTATAGTGAGTTAGTTGAACTGTGTGTTGAAGCAGATATGGATGGTGGTTAGCAGTGGAATTCGCACATGGTTCATATATAATAAAAGAGACTGGTCAATTGCAGTCCAAATAATCATCATATATGTATCAAAAGGGGTTTTTGTGGACATTATATTAATTTCAATAGTTGAGATCATCAGTCAATTGAAGCGGGATCGTGGATGTGCACTGCTGAGGAGTCCCACAATAAGACGAAACGGCCGTCCAGTGCTTCCAGGTTTTCCATGGTGATCTAACTTCAATTGAATTACGATCTCAACCACTGAAAATCTATATATATATATATATATATATATATATATATATATATATATATATATATATATATATATATATATATATTAAAGTATTCAACCTTGTTTTCTAAATCAGAAAACAGTACGTACTTTCATGTTTTTTCAATGGTATACATAAACTGATCGTCATGAGATGATCGGTTTAACGACTTGAGGCCACAATACAAACACATTAGGGATATTCTCAATGAGATCTGATAAGATAATCTTATGCTTATTTCCTTATTTTGTTGATGGTAAGTATTGAACTCCCGAAAGTTCTTTTTACTAACCAGTTTTACTTACATTATCGTGTTGATTATCGATGTAAACAATTGATAGCATTTTACAAACAATTTCCTTTCCTCGACGATTCACCGTTGTATTTATTAATAGGCAGCTATGTTCATTTCAAATAACATGATTTAAATATTTAACTATCAATCTATCCTCCCTCCTTCTTGGTTAGGTTTTATTGATCGTTATAACTAACTTGTGCAACTATCTCGATTACTTCATTCTTTTATCGAACTAGGTACGAGTTTAGACTCCTTGTTTCGCACTATTTGAGAAGTGTCAGTTATATGCATATGCTTAATTTTTTTTCTTTTTCATCTAATTTTCAACCGATCATATCCTGTGATTATTGTCCATCTTAAAAGACGTTTTATCGAGACCATGAACTAGTCTAAATTAAATACATATTGAAAACTTGGAAGCACTAGATGGATATTTCATTGTACTATGAGACTCCTCAGTAGCGCGCACTCACGACTCGAAATCAAATACAGGATTTTCGGTCTTGTGCACAGACGCTTAATCTCTAGACCTGCGACTGAGCCGAAATCCAGCGGTGTACATGTTTAACTTGGGTCTATCCGCGATATTGCGCGACTATCTATTGTCTTCGGTGGTTGACTTTCTTATATCCAACACGGTCAAACACCACTAACCGCCCCTTCGCACTAAAACTCTGGAGTTTTCCTCTCGAAGCTGGTCACTGGTGAACACATGGGGTTATAGGGATTCTCTGTTGCAAGGTCGTGGACGAGCAGCACTGTTTGGGAGTCTCATAATTCACAGCCCCATACTAGCAATTACAAAACGTTGTTTCATTCTTTAATTATTTGAAAGACAAGTGGGGATTTCTGTAGCTGAAATATTTTTTTATTGAGGATTTTTGATAAAAAATGACTAGGAAATATCCTGTTCCATACTGTCAAAATTAATGAAAACGGTGATGTTAGTCTCAGTATAATCATTGTTTCTAAAGAAATTGTCTAAAAGTGTGCTTCGGTTCAAGTAATACCGCTTCTACGACACACTAGTTGTACTTTAGGTTTATAGAAACTCTGAATGAAATCTATATGCTATTGATTACTTCAGTTCGACCAGTCTGGTAGTGTCATTAGCTTCCACACAAAGTGTGGTTCAAAGTCGCTTACATGAACACACATTAGATGAATCCGGATGTTTTCCTGTTCACTTACATCTTTTTTTTGGTCTTCAGATGAAAATCGACCGGTGACTCTCACTAGTACTAGTAGTCCCATCACAACAACTGATTCATCACAAAGTATACTAGCTGCTGTTAAGCAAAGTCAATCTGAAGGCCATACTTCTGCTTTGTTATTAGCATTTAGTCTTGGTTTAATTTGTTGTTTCATTGGTCTACTTATTGCTGAATGGAGACGTCGGCAAAAATTGCATTTATGGTCATCGCATCGTTCAAGACCAGAGCAAGCAATTGTTTTTGGTGATCGAACAAAAATATCCATGCCAAGATTGAAATCATCTCGTCGATTAAAGAAAAATACTACTTATGACCAAGTGAATAAAACTATAACAGGTACAATAGATGAAGAAAAAGCTTTATTCAATGATTTAGTCCTTTAACTCATCATTCATCTTAAGAAATATATTATGATACACTGCATCTATATTTGACTTCAGTTTTGAGTTGTTTTTTTAAATTTTCATCATTGTCTAATATTTTATTGAACACTGTACTCATTTAAACAAGCATTTAAGAAGTAATACGACCAGTGGGTTTTATTTGTGATTTTCCTCATATATATATAAACTGTTTATTTCACTCAAGTCTATGTCTTGCATTTATTTTAATTTGATGATATTACTTTTTAATTCATGTTCCGTGTAATATGCATTCCTACCAGACAATTTCGATGTTGTGATAATCACCAATGTTCTTTTGATATAATGTTTTTACGTTTATTTGCATTGATTAATCTCTTTATTATCTAAATTTTATTACTATTAATTAACTTGTTAATTCGTTCAGTGTTTAGGTATTATGATATTCAACGTGAATTTCTTTTAATCGGTTTTGATTATGGTAAAATATATTCTAAGAATTCTTTGTCTCGGTATTATTTCTATTATTCATCTTGTTGTTGTAATTCAGTAAGACATATTAGAGGAGTACAAATCTGTGCCAAGCCCTACATTGATTGTAACTACTGACCGTGTAATCTCGGTGTGACACACATGTAATGCAATCATGTGAAGTACCACACATGTTTTTTTTTCAAAACACGATATCCCGTTGCCTGACGAAGTACATTTAGCACTTAAAATCCATACGACAGATTTATCATTCTATCAGATGGCGTGCCAATGAATAACTGTAATGACCAAATACACACGAATGGCTAACTAGCAAATTTCGTTAGTGTGCTCTTTGATTAGAAAACTAAAAGTATATTGGCATGGGTTACAAGTGGGCTATTTGCACGAGTCCGGACGCGTTTATGCTCCTGGGCAATATGTTAATTGATACTTTATTATTTCTTGATAGATTAGTGTTTACATTAGCGATAACACTTGAAGGTACCTAGCACACACTCATTTTATGGAGTCATTGCCATTTGCTTACAATTATTTAACTTAATGGATAGTACCATACCTCTGTCAACCGACAAAAAGAAGCTTTTCGGTAAACAATGTTTAGTCGCTCTTGGAACACCGATCAGGCTTCTGACATGATCTAGTGGCCACACGCGAGAGAAAAAGTAAGCACATGTACTTTCTTGCCAATATTTTTATCCATTGTACTCCCATTTATTGTGTACGAAACACTGACCAATTTCTGTAATATCTGGGATATGTTAACAACTAACTCTCACCAGAATCTCAAATCGCATCATTCTATACAGTTCCTATCTGATCTTCATGTTTATCAATTGATAAGATATATCAAATACAACAATTAATAATACTACAAGATGTCTTTTGGCAGTTAAATTTCCACACCTTAGATTAGGACAATTAATATCTCTCTACATAGGCGATGATCAATCGATGTAATTTAAGCTCTCTATCATCTGATTAACCTGGTCTTTTCTTACCAATCATTCATAAAATATCTTATAATCAATTAAATTGAATAAACTACACCATGCACTGTTCTAGTGTCAACAAATGAAATTTAGTAAATTCCCTTTGATATCAGAACTAAATTTGTTTGACGCTATACATTATTGTGACAGACAATTTTATTTAAAATACATAAATGCAGTGTACTGATGTTTGGAAAAACAGTTACAAGATAATCTTTATATAAAACAAATCTTCCGGTGAAAAGATTAAATAATACAAATATAATGTAATAAAGTTGGATATCTCTACTTAATTCGGTACAAAATACGCCTTTGCATTCTGTACTGTACTTCACCTCGACGAATCATGTAGTGTAAAACCTTGGTCACAGCGCGTTCAGAAAAACCCTGCAAATCACACGAATAATAAGAAAAGTTAGTAAGTTTAACATGTAATGTAAATTGTACAATAGAAAACCTGGTACGAACTCAGTTTAAATAACATGAACGGGAATAATTTAATAACAAGTGAAAATGAGAACTAATTCTGTCAGTCAGTCGATCAGACTTCATTTGCCATTTTGCAAGGAAAACTTGGTTGAACAAATTCCAAAACCATCTGGATATTAAATGTGTTGATAATATCGCTAAGTATTCCTCACAATCCTTAGGGTCCACGGCTAGAGCTCTATATACTGTAAGTAAAGGTAGGTGACAGTAATATCAACTGATCGATGTTTTTTCCTCTTCTTCTTTAAGGGGATAATGGTAGAGAAAGTCGTCGATCTCCAGGAAACTACTAAACTGGCTGGAGGAAATTTGAAGGAAAATCTGTCGATCCTAAATATTATGAATGGCAATGGATATCAAGACTATAATCAAGGACTAACATAATCCACTTAACTTTTATAGGATTGAGAAACTTGTTTACATTAAAACAAATTATTTTGATGATATGAACTAAAATAATGAAACACTGGAATACTACATACTTGACGTGTAAAGTCTTGTATGATAGCATATTCTGATACTTGACTGCCAATAACAAATCGCTTTTTCAACTGCTTTTCTAAACGCAGAATAAGTTCATGTTCCTCTTGTGTGGTAAAACCTTCCGCACCTTCTAAGCTTCCAGACATAGCGGCTTCTAATGTTGAAACATGAAATAGACGTAATGCTTCCTCAACATCTGTTTCAGTTGCAAAAGCAGCTAAACGCATTTTTGCTAGAGACTCAGAAATTCGTATAATTGCTTCAAGTTGGCTGTAAAAAGGTAAATTATTGACCATATGTACGGTAAATGCATTTAGGTTAATTAAAAGAAATGGATGTAACAACGTTTGAACCAAATTGGTTATAACTTCAAGTCAGTAACAACGTAGAACTTTGTACGTACATACATCAGTTCGAGTTGCCATACCACATTAGCACAGAGATGCAGTTGTCGATTCAAATCGAGTAGTGGTAGAGGTAGTAAGAGCATAAGCAGTAATCATCAATCGATTTTCCATCCTTACCTAGTACCCGTTT